GGGTGCTGAACTCGGTTTGGGTTTGTTGGGAGATAGTGGCTTTGGCAGTTTCTAGTTCTGAGATTTTGGCTTCTAAACGGGCTATTTTGGCTAGTTTGTCGGCTTCATTGGCTTTGGCAGTAATTATTTCCTCTCTCACTTGGAGGATTTTATTATTAAGGGCAGTTAACCATTTATCTTTACTGTCAGGATTGGTGAAGTATTCAGGTCGGGAGATTAGCATTTTTTCGGGGTGGGCTAATTGTCAGGCTTCTAAATCATAATCAAAAGGTCTTAATTGGTCTTGGATAACTACACATTTAGTTTTTGCCTCACCATCATCACCAAAGCATTCTATGAAGGAACTTCTTTTACTTCCATGTTGACGAAGTGGCATATATTCTAAACCCGAATCGATATCAGTAAAATCAAAACAAAAAATATTACTTAATATGTTAGAACAATTTTTTAAGGATTTTAAAGAACCATAGAAACGATTACGAAAATTTAAACCTCTTGATGTTGTTCCCATTCTAAAACTACTTAAATTAACAAATGGACTAAATATCTCAATGTCTGTCGGTTCAATATTATTACAGTTTACAAATAGACCCTGCAATTTCTCTGGATTAACCAGTTGTTTCAAAAACTCAACAGAGGTCAAATTATTGAAAGAAACTCCTAAAAATTTCAAATTAGCACAATCGCCAATTTTTAATGAATTTAATTTATGTTCAGCATCATATGAAGTACCATTAACAACAATTTTCTCTAAATTCTTAAACTCCCTTAAATCTAATTCACCTAACTTTAGTGGTATTGACCGTTCGACTTCTTTTTCTCATGCTGGTATTCACACCATTCTCGAAATACCAAATTTTATCCTAACATCATCTATATTGCCAATAATGATCTCCTTCACCCCCTCTTTATCTTCCTTAGCCGGATATTTCCACTCCAAATATTCCTGTAAAGTTTTACCTTTAAATTCTAATTCATTAGTTTGGATTACCATAATATTATAATTTTGCTAAATAATTATTTAATTTATTTAATAAATGGTCTCTTTGGTTGGTGAAGTTAAGAGTTAGTTGTTGAGTTTTGGCTTTAAAGTTATTTTCCATTTGCTCTACTAACTTTAAAGATTCTTTTTTGCCAGTTAGTTTACTTTTCGCCAAATTCATTAAACTAGTTTCTAAATCAGTGGCTTTTTGCTGATAAAGAGTTTTGGTCTCTCTTTCTTGGGATAAATTATGCTCTAATTGTTGAAGATGGTGGGTAAGTTGCTGAATTTTTTGAGTTTGGTCATGTTCTAAATCCTTTTGAACCCGATTTTGGTAAAGAGTTTGGTAATGATTTCGTTCTTGTTCTAATTGAGTGAGTTGGACAGAATTGGTTAGTAAATTAGGCTGAGAATGGGACTGATAAGCGAGATAAATCACTAAAATTAGGAGAGTTATTATTAATAATTCCTTAGTCATATATTTATTTTAAAGGGATAAGTGATTAAGCATTCTTCCTACGACCATTAGGTTTGGAAGGAGATAAATTATTTTCTTCGTGAATGGCTAAATGGAAAGGAGTAAATAACACACTGGCATAATCAACCAATTCATCCAAAGTAAAGTAATCAATATGGCGAAATAAAAGATACTCTAATTTATCAACTTGTTTAATTCCTAACAATTTACCTATTTCTTTTTCTGACAAATTATGCTCCCTTTTATAGCGCAAAATATTTTTACAAATTTCATACTTACTCTTTGCTAAGGGAGTGGCATTAGGAGTTAACCCTTGGTTTATTCGTCGATAACCCGGTTGTTGCATTCTTTCTAATTCCGAAACATCAATTTCCCTCCATCCAGTTTTATTTTTTTTTAAGTTATTATTTTTGGTTGTCATATTTTCTTTCGCGATAACAGTCAATGATGATTAATTTAGTGGTTAATAGTTCTTCATCATAGTCTCAAACTAATTTATAGGCTCGATAGTCAATATAAAGAGGCTCAAAAGAGTAATATTTATTATCTCTTACTAATTCATCCTCGCCATTTAATTGCTTAACTAACTCCTTAATTATCTCATCATTCACGGTTGAGCGTCCTGGTTTAGTTCGATAATATTGACTAATTTCTATTTCAGTAAATCACCGGTCATTAATAACCACACTACACGGATAATAGTTAACTGAATAATTAACAATCTTTTTAACCATCTTTATCTATAACTTATTTTTTTATAATCCGAGGTCGACCATAATTTTTTACTTAATCATGTAAGTAGGACTAAATCTTTTTCTTCTCTTGATAAACTTTCCAATTCTTTTGATGCCTTTTTCCGGATAAATGAGACTTTATAAAATCAGAATTTTTGGGAAAATAGACTAAACAGATATAGCAGATATTTAAGAGTTCTTTTTTAGGATGGAGGTTTACCTTAGCTTCTAATTTCTCTCTCTTTTGGAAATACTGGACTTCTTTACTAAGCGGTTTAGGTTTGGACTCTTTTTTCTCATAAAGTTCTAAATCTTTTACATTATCTAAACCTTTTTTGCCTCAGGGGGTAGTTAGGATATTTCTTGCTTTTAAAAAGAATTGAAGTTCTTTTAGAGTTTCCATCTTCAAACTCCAAGGCAAATTAACTCTTCCTTTTAAGGTATATCGTGTCCCACTTTTGTGAATACTACCAATTCCGACAATAAATCTTCCCTTGCTATGTAATTCACCAATAGGGTCGCCATTCTTATTTACTAATCAGCAAGATTTAGGAAGTTCTTTTATCAAAAGGTAGCGATGAACTCCTTTATTAGTTATGATGTAGCGAACATCATTTATCCTCTCTTTGGCTCATAAATCATCTAAATCTATGACCACAAAGTAATAATTACCAATTGAAGTGCCAGTTCGCAAAGAATATTCTTGGTTGATTTCTAATAACTTTTCAATACTTCTATACTCGGCATAATACTTATTTCAATTCTTGACTAAGGGCTTCTTAAATTTGGTGGGCAAGAGAATATGTCTTTTGGCTAATCCTTGTAAATATTTAGTTTCTGAGTTGGTTAATTGACTATTTGGTTTCATGGGTTCTAAAATCTATATGTAGAGGTCTCTTTTAAGTATTCTTACAAAAAAAAAAGTTAACGATAAATTCCTACTCTGCAAAAGAAGTAAAATAGAAGAGGAGTAAAAATTAAAAATTCCCCTCCTCTGGATGGTTTTGTTTTTTTTGTTTCAGGAGAACCTTTAAAAACTACCTGAACTTCTTTGACCTCGGTTTAACCTCCGAGATAAGGCTCCTAGTGCCGGTGGCACATTAAGCATTTGCTCAATCTCTCCCCTAACTTTGGTCGGTTTCCATAATTGACGGACTTATTTTCATCCGGGTTATTCTGTCAGCCAAATTACTGATTAGTTTAACGCTCCTTTTTCTTTTCGGAGGAGGTTGGGCTTCTCTGCCAGTAATTTCTTACTGGTGCATCTTATGCTATCCGAATTAGCGTTAATGCTTTTTGAGGGGAGTTAAAACTTCTGGCAAAAAAATTATCTCCCCATGGGAGCCAGCGTGGTAAAAAGAATCAACACTGACTCTAATCGAGAAATAATTAGCCAGCGGAGATTATCCGCTCTCTCTTTTTGGTATTCAGCGACCTTTTTTATCCTTAATAACTTGGTCGGTTTCGGTGAATTCAAAGCTGGTTTCCCTTGAAAATCAACCGGGATTAATGGTCTTTTCATAATGGATTAGTTGACCATTTTTTAAGGGCTTGGTATAGTAGACAGTTATTTGGGTGTCTAGTCCCGCCCCAGTATGAAGGGTCAGTCAATGGCTTTCTCCTAACTTAAAGATAGTGTTAGTGCCGATATAAACCAGGTGATGAATTTGGCGGTTTGATTCAGAGATTTCACAAAAATAATTGTCTTTGATTAGTCATAGTTTTTTTTCTAAGGGGTGGTATTTAAATTTCATGAGTGGTTAAGTGAGTTAATATTCTAGTTGATTTTGATACTCTTCTCAATGTGCTTTGACTTTCGGACAAATATATTGTTGTTGAGGGTCTTCTTGGGCTCGTTTACAGCCTCAACAGCCATTTTTATAAATTAGTTGGGACATGGATTTTTGATTTTAACCTTTCTTGCAATTGTTTTTCAAGCATGGCGTGGAGTTTTTTTTGTTTTTCAATAATTTTGTCTTCTAACTTTTTTAATTTTTCTAATTTTCTTAATTGATATTTGAGTTCAGTTCTGGTTTTAGATAAAGTTCAGATTGAACAACTCAGACCAAAAACTGATAAAATTGAGAAAATATCGCCTTTGGTGTAAACTGTTAACAATAAACTGTTAGCGATAATCAGCACCAAACAAAGAATGGTGGTGATTTTATGGTGTTCGATTACTTCTTTTTGTAATTTACTAACTTCGGTCATTGGCTTTATTGGGGGGTTATTCATATTTTTCTTTTAAGAATAAAATAATCATGGATTATTTATTTCTCGATTTAAAAATTATTTCTAAAAATTGGATGGTTTCTAAGGCATCGGCAATTAGTTCTACTTCCTGAGGGGTGAAATTATAAGTAGAATAGTAACGGTCTTGTTGTCAAGCGTGAATTTTTTTAATTAGTAAGTCATATTTAGTCATAAGGTTAAATTTGGGTTAGTTTAGGGTTTTTTCACAATCGGCTATAATCTTGGTAAATATATTCAAAATCGTTCTGAATATATTGCTCGGTGGTTTGGACACTGGAATGTCCTAATAGTTGTTGGATAGTAAGTAATTGGGCTCCATTGCGATAAAGGAGAGTAGCAAAACTTCTTCTAAAAGTATGTGGGGTTATTCGCTTGTTAATCCCGGCTTGTTTGGTTCGGGCTTTTAAGAGTCATCTAATATACTCGGCTTTAATGGGACTGCCTCTTTGGTTAGTAAATAAATAGTCGGTTGAGGTAGGGTTAAAATGAGTAATCAAGAAATCAGGGAGTAAAACAAACCGGACTTTATTACCTTTGCCTAAAATTCTTAACTGTTGACCTCGTCAGTCCTGATGCTTGATGTTTATTAGTTCATTGATTCTTAGTCCTGAGTAAAATAAGAAGTCCAGCATTAAGTTATTTCGTTCTTGAATTTGGGGATTTTTTTCTACTTGGGCAGTTTTTAACTGCTTTAATTCTAGTTCATTGATCGTATCAAAAAACTTTCTCTGAATTCGCGGGATTAAACGAGCAATTCTTTCTCACTCGATTTGTAATTTCTGGAATTTCACATAAGAATTTAGGGCTCGTTGGTGCAGTTTTAAACTAGTGGCTTCATAGTTTTTGAGGTTAGTGAGAAAATATTCTTTTAAGTTTTCCGTGCTAAATTCTGGGCTAAACTTTGCTAAAACATTCAGATAAAGTCGGATAGTGTTAACTGATAAATTCTTTTCTTGTAATCAGGCAGTATAGTGGGGAATATTATGGTTATTAGTCATAATATTTGGTAGGGGTTGAGTGGCTCTTTGTTTAGCTCAATAAGTAGTTCAGTTCATTATAATTCAATGTCAATTTGGGGTTTAATTTGTTGACATTTGAAACAAGGTTGACCGTTAATTTGTTTGGTTTTTCACTGGAAGAGGACAATTTCTTTAACTGGTCTTAATTGTTTACAGTTAGGACATTTGACTTGGAACCAGTAAAGTAAAGTGAGGGTGAGGAATAAAATTCCTCCTATGATTCCTAAAAATAGGGTGATTAATAAAGTGGTTAGCATAATTTTAAATATCTTCGTTTTCTTCCTCATCAGAATGGTATTCATCGACCAAAGAGCATAATCCCTCTTTATAAAGAGGTTGACCAAATTCATCATACCGACCTTTGATTGGTTGGTCTTGGAGTAATTTAAGAATCTCTTTTAAGTTTTCTACTAAATTATAAAGAGCATCTGAGTCTCAGGTGTCGGGGTCATTGGAGTCAATGATTTTGACTTCGATAACTTTATCAATTAATCGGTTTAGTTTTTCTATTTTGTTTTCGATTTCTTTTTCTAGTTTCTTGGATTTTGGCATATTATTTTTGGTTATTTTGTTTTCTGATTTTCTCTAATCAATGTTCTAATTCCTTAGATTGTTCATCTTTTTCTTGCTCTTGCTTGACCAAGTGCATTATCTGTCGTTCTTGGCAATAAGCAATTAGTAAACTTTCTCACTTTTGGGAGCAATAGTTGAGGCATTTAGTTTCTTTGTTGGTCATTAAATCTGTCCTAATTACTAATAATTGATAAGTGGCTTGGCACACTGAACAATGGAATTTGAGTTTCTTTTCAATAGTGTTAAGTTTCTTGGTCATGGTGGTTTAATTCCCTGGCTCTTTTTGGGAAGAAGTGCTTGCTAACTCCTTTCAATTCTGTAAGATTAAACCATTTCTTTTTCTTTGACAAGTAAAAAAATATCGCTGGTCAAGATACTGGTTTTGTTTGAGGATTTTTAATAATGGTGGGTCAACTAAATTGGCATAAACGAAAATAGTTTCATATTCTGGTGAGATTCTTTTTTCGGGCAATACTTTTAACTTATAGTTGATATTGCCATAAAATTCGTTCTTTTTGTAAACTTTACGGGGTTCTTTACTGATAATTTGCCCCGTTATTTCATGGAGTTTAGTCATTTTATTTAAAAATATTCTCCTCCCCTTTTTGGTCTAAGGATCAGTTGGTTGCTTGGCTAGTAAAGGAATCTGGGCAACTGGGATATTTTTTTTTGATTCTTTTTTCATTTAAAACTTGGTAAGAGTTAGCGGTAAAACTTTGGCGGACATTCTTTTCGGAATGGGAGTAATGACCGGTCAATTCGACTTGGTCAGTTTTTTTGAGAGTGGGTTTGGTTAACTGGTCTTGGCCATCTTTTAGTTTAAAAATTACTGGTAAATCGATGGACTGGCTCTTTAATCTAATAAATGAATAATAATAAGGTTCTGGGGAATGCTCACCTTTTAATTGGATTTGGGAGGTGAGGGTTCCGGTGATTTTAGTTAGTTGCTTTTTAACGGAGGAAGCAATTGGAACTCCTTGGTTTTTACTGGTTAGAATTGGTTTTAGGGTTTGTGTCATATACTTAAAAAATGTATATAGACAAAAAGGAAAAATTTAAAGGGTAAAAAAAGTTCTGATAATAATAATAATAACCAAGTTCTTTGAACTGAAATCTTCAATGAGGTTGGTAAACAAGTTCTCTCTAAATTAATTACTGCACTTCAACAAGCTTTAAAACTCTCTAAAAAAAAGGAACTACAAAATAAAGTTAAAGAATTACAACAATTCATTAACAGCAAAATTGACTACAAACAAAATGCTTATCAACTTCAAAAGGACAAAGTTGATCAGTTATTAGCCCAAGCCCATAACCAACCTAATCAAAGTAAAACCCCGAAAAGTTTCTTCCGCACCAACAATCCCCTTATGTGGTTATCTGGTGTATTGGTAATTGGTTTGGTGTTAGCAGTGGGATTATTAATTGTTAGAGTTCGGCGGAGAAGAAAAATAAGGTAAATTTTACCGTAGTTTGTAAATTATGTTTGAAAATATGCTCCGGTAACTCAGTGGATAGAGTGCTCGTTTCCTAAACAAGTGGTCGGAGGTTCGAATCCTTCCCGGAGCACCAGTAAACACAAAAGAACCCTATTTGCTGAAAAAGAGCAAAAAAGAACTGGTTAATTTTTTTTTGTTAGTAATTAGGTGCGCGTTTTCTCATTCTACCACTCGAAGTTTTACGAGGAGAGATGAAAGACTCTTTTCATGAACTGTTAAGTAAAAAGGGAAGAGATTATCAATGTAAATAACTAATCTATCCAGGGTAAATTTATCTATACGAGCAAATAAAATATCTTCTACTTCGGGAACAGTTAAGTTAATTTGTTTGGCTAACTTTTCCACCGGTAAATTATTCTCTTGTTTATAAACTAACACTTTTTTACGCAAAAAATATTTGCTCTTTTCTAGTGAGGTAGCATTCTTGGGAGAGGTCTATTCACGTGGGGATAATTAGGTTCTAACATCTTTTCCCGTATTTGGGCTAATTTCTCTTCTGGTGGGAAGAAACTGATATTAAATTGAATTAAAAAATTTCCTCCTCTTTAAAAAATAAATTTATTTCTCTTTTTGCCGTTTGGGGACTATCTGAGCCGTGCACTGCATTAGCATTATCAATACTTTCGCCGTAGGTTCTTCGAATCGTTCCTACCTTGGCTTCCAGGGGATTAGTGGCACCCATAATTTCCCGGTTAAGTTTAATGGCATTTTCTCCTTCCAAACAAATTACCACTACTGGCGAACTACACATGAATTCAGTCATTCCTTTAAAAAATGATCTCTCGCTATGTTCTTGGTAAAAATTTTTAGCCAATTGAGGAGTTAAACGAATCATTTTCATTCCGGCTATTCTTAACCCCTTTTTTTCAAACACACTAATAATTTCACCAATTTGATTTTTTTTAGTAATATCAGGCTTAATAATGGAAAGAGTTCTTTCAATAGACATATATAATATATTATTTTAGTGATTGCATTAAAATTTAATAAGGTGGAATTTATTGTTTTTTTTTTTTTTTTTTTTTGCGATATTTAACCAAATAAACCACTCCTCCTACTATTAACATTACCAAGAAACTGGTCATCATTCCTAATAAGAATTTTGGGTTTTGTTTGTTATCTTGGTTAGACTGGGAATTATTCATTTTTGACAATTGTTCTTGCAAATCTCTTATTTCTCGTTGTTTAGAAGTTAATTTTTCTCTTAATTCTTCCACTGTTAATTTCTGATTTTCTTGTTCTTCTTTCTTATCCTCTTCCCCCTTTTGTTGAGGAATTGGAATATTTTGATCTTTCTTATTCAATTTAGTTTGCAATTCAGTTTGTAACCTATCTTTTTCTTGGTTGGCTTTTTTTAAATCATCTTTTAATTGGTTCAATTCGTTATTGTTAGGAGTATCACATTTATGGTCTAGAATTTGTTGTTGTTTCTCTTTTAGTTGATTTTCTGCCTCCTCTTTGTCTTTGGTTAAATCAGCATTTTTTTGTTGCAAATCAGAAATATCCTTATCACTGCTACCTACTTTGACTATTTTGTTTTCTCAACTGGTTAAATCATTGCCGATAACCACTTTTAATCCTTGTTCATAATTTTTGACTGAGTTCTGAAATTGGTCTTTTTCATTTTTCAAATTAGTTAACTCTTGTTCTTCTTGCTGGTCTTTTAGAAGGGCGTTATCGTATTTATTTTTTGAAATATCTGAAAAAGGATAAGTTGTGTAAATACCATTTCAAATTATATTAGCTATTTTAATAGCGTATTCATTTAATTCAGTAAATTCCTTTTTATCTCACAAAATTTCACTTCAGTTCTCAACTCCATTATCTTTCATTTTTTTTTCATATCCATCTTTATCAATTCTGTTTTTAATAACTTGAACCTCTAACAAATCTCTAATTAAAAATTTTTTTACGTTTCTATACCTTTGATTCATAATGTTTATTTTTATCCACCATTATTCGTTAATTCTCTTTTCTATAATTTAAATTAAAATTATAACTTCCCTAACTTTTTTACTCGTTTTTCAAGCTTTTTAAGTTGCCTTGCTAACTCATTTATTATTTTGCTTTTTTCTTCACAGCACTGGCAACCATAACAGCAGGCAGTTTCACAGCCGTTCCCATCACAAGGGAGTATTTTTCTTTTGTGTTTAAGGCTATTGCTATTCACATAAGTGCGGAGTATATTCCTCTTTTTTTCACTAGAAACTTTTTCTCAGAAAGTATATTTATCCTCTTTATAAAAAGAAATTAAACACTCATTACAGAGATAATTTGGTCTATCTTCCTCTTTTTCGGTTCAATAGCCCCAGTTATTTTTTTGGACATACTCACCACAAGAGCGATTATACTTAACTTCAAAGATTTTACCGCATTTATTTCCCAAAGGAGGAGTATAAAAACACTCTACTTTTAAAGGTCTTTGGACTGTTTTGGTTGCTATTTTACCTTTTTCTTTCATTGTCTTAGTTAAAATTATTTTAATAAAAATGGACTCAAAAAAAATCAAAGATACTCTTTTACTACCTAAAACTAGTTTTCCGCTAAAAAATACTAACCACTTAGAAAACGAAAAAAAAATTAGGGAGTTATGAGCAGAAAAGCAAGTTTATCAGCAAGTATTAACAAAAAATAAAAATAACCCAACTTTCATTCTTCATTCTGGTCCTCCTTATGCCAATGGTAAAATTCATTTAGGTCATGTGTTAAATTTCCTGATTAAGGATATTATTGTACGTTTTCAGGCTAGCCAAGGAAAATATACTCCTTTTTGGTTAGGCTGAGATACCCACGGATTACCAATTGAGCACAAAATGATTCAAGCCCACCAAGGTCAAAAAGTAAATTTTCGTCAGGTTTGTCATAATTTCGCCTTAGAACAAGTTCAATTACAAAAAGAACAATTAAAAAAATTAGGACTTTTCACTAATTATGAGGAGCATTATATTACCCTAGATAAAAAATATGAAGCCGAACAAATTAGAGTTTTTGGAGAAATGGTTAAAAAAGGTTTAATTTATCAAGGATTTAGACCTATTCACTGGTCTTGCAGTCACGAAACCGCTCTGGCCGGAGCCGAAATAGAATATTATGAAAAAAAAGATACTTCGCTTTATTTTAAAATTAAACTGGCAGCAAATTTTTTAGGAAAAGAAAATATTAACCTTTTAGTTTGAACTACTCAACCTTGAACCATTCCGGCTAATCAGTTGGCGGCAGTCAAAAAAACCGCTACTTATGTTTTGGTCGAATGTGAGGGGGAATATTTGCTAATGTTAGAAAAACAACTTAATTTATTAGAAAAATGAGAAAAGTCTTCAAAAGTAGAAAAGAAATTTTTAGGAAAAGAGTTGATTGGTAAACATTATTTTCACCCTTATCGAAAAGATAATAAAGGCTACATAGTATCGGGTGATGAGTTTATTCAAGAAGAAGAAGGTACTGGTGTCGTTCACCTAGCACCGGCTTTTGGAGCCGAAGACTTTATGGTGGCCAAAAAGGAAAAATTAATAATTGAATGTCCTATGGAACCGAATGGAATTTTTAACCAAAAGATTGGAGTTTTAGAATTAGTTGGTAAACATTATTCAGAAGTAAATAATTATGCAGTGACTGACCTAGAAAAAAGGAATTTAGTAGTTAGGAAAAAAGTAATTAGTCATAGTTATCCCCATGACTGGCGAGATAAAAATCCCTTAGTTTATCGTCTAACTAAACAGTGATTTATTAAAGTGGAAGCCATCAAAAAAGAATTATTGGAAAATGTTAAAAAGGTGGAATGATATCCCAACTGAACCCAAGAAAAAATGTGGCAAGCCATAAACTCACGGGAGGATTGGTGTATTTCTCGACAACGAAAATGAGGAGTACCGATTCCAGTCTTATATAAAAATAATGAGCCAATACTTAATACTGAGATTATTGATTATGTGGCGGAAATAGTTGCTAGTCGCGGTTCGGATGGTTGATTTGATGGGAGTATTTTATCGCTTTTGCGGGAGAAATTTCCTAATTTAATAGATAAAGAAACAGTTTTAGGAACTGATATCATGGATGTTTGGTTGGATAGCGGAGTTTCGCATTGGTGTGTTTTGAAGGGAAAAAGATTAAAATTATAGTAATATGTCAGAAGTCAAAAAGCATCAATTCAGCGTTAGTTTCGACAAAGAAGCAAGAAAGTCAATACCTCAATGATTAATGATTGACCAATTAAATAACCAAGTGAATGCTAGATTAGGGGAAAAAAAATGATATGCTACTCGTTATTATTCTCGTGAAGAAAGTGATGGCGATCTAACTTTTATTATTGAAGTGGAAGAAATTGAATAAGAATTTTATAGGTTTAATTTAATAAACTTAGTCTAGAAAATGGTTAGTTCTTTAAAAATTTAAATTCTATTATTACAAAGTGCAAAATTATTTTCCGCTTTTTCATTATTAAAAACAAAAAGGTATTAACAAAATTAATATTTTTTGATAATCTTGTATTCAAAAACAGACATTTAATTTGCACACAGTAATAATAACAACGAACAAATGCTTAAAATTGAAAACTTAATTGGTATCAAGAAAGATTCTCCATTCCTATGGTTATCTTTATTTTTTTTAACTATTTGTATTATTGTTTTCAAACTTAAAAACATAAGCGATAAAGCAAAAGTGTGAATAATTTTGTCATTATTACTTATCTATTTGGCAGTTTTTGTGTTGCTTTTCTCTATAAAAGCATTAGCATTTAAGAGAAGCGGCGAAGAGGAGCAAAAAGATAAACGATATCAAAAAGGTAAAACAGAACTTGAAAACAAACTCAAAAACACTTTAGAAGAAAACGAATACCTAAAAAAACTGTTTTCAGGAAGCCATATAAAAGGAGCAAAAAAGGACAAAAAAATTAATAGTTTAAAAGAAAAAATTTCCAAGTTAGAGGCAGAAATTAGCCATCTGCTAAAAAATAAAAATAGATAAAATGAACCAAAACGAAAAAGACCAATTAATCAAATCTCTCCAAACCAAAATCCGAGAACTGGAACAAAAATTAGAGGAATACAGCCAGGGCGGAATAAAAATCCTCTTTTCGGGCAAAGCCAACGCCCAAAGAGTAGCCCGTAAAGTTAAACCCCGCACTTTACGCGAAATCCCAGAATTAAGCCTCGGCAGCGAGGAACAAAAATCCCAAAACCTAGTCATTGAAGGCGATAATTTACTCGCTATGGCTACTCTCTATCAATACCATGGTAAAATCGACCTGATAATCGCTGACCCACCTTATAATACCGGTAAAGATTTTCGTTATAATGACCGTTGAGACCAAGACCCTAATGACCCTAATTTAGGTGATTATGTGAAAGCCGATGACCCCTCCCGCCATACTAAATGAATGAAGTTTATGTTGCCTAGAATACAAATGATGCGGCAAATGTTAAAATTAAATGGAGTTTTGGCATTTTGTATCGATGAAAGGGAATTATTTAGGTTAGGAATGATGCTGAATGAAATTTTTGGAGAAAATAATAGAATAGCAATAATTAACTGACAAAAACTCGGTGGACCTCAAACCTACACTCATGTCTCATCGGCCACTGAATACATTTTAGTTTATGCTAAAAATCTGGAAAAAGCAGAAACTAGTTTAATGCCTCGAACTGAGAAGTATTTAAAACAATTCAAAAACCCGGATAAAGACCGGCGGGGAACTTGGGTTGTCGGCGACCCAAGTTCCCAAACTCCTACTTATAATATGGTTTATGCTCTCCAAAACCCTTTTACTGGAGAAATTCATTATCCACCGAGGGGCTGCTGGACTTTCCCAAAATCACGAATGAAAAGTTTTTTAGAAGGCTGAGGTTCAGAATACCAAGAAGTAGATATCAAAGATGGAAAATCAACCGCTCTCTTAATTAAAGGTTTCTCAATGAAAAATATTGAAAGTCCTCTCAACGACCCCGCAATTCAAGCCTCCTCGCAAAAGGCTTATCAAATTTTAGAAAAAGGTCCTTGACCCAAAATAATATTTTCTCATGGTGGGAAAGGAAAACCGCAACAAAAACGATATTTAGCCGATATGAAAGAAGGACATATACCCATAACTTACTGAGGAAAGGAGGATTATGAAAATCCGATTGAATTAGGAGTGGTAAGTTGAGACCTCGCCCAGTCTGGAACCACGGCAGCCGCGAGTAGTGAAATAGCTCGGTCGGTAGGGTCCGGACATGGTTTTGAAACTGCTAAACCTCTTAAATTAATTACTAAACTTATCCAACTCTGATGTCCGCCTAATGGCATAGTTTTAGACCCTTTTGGAGGTAGCGGAACCACCGGACATGCGGTTTTACAACTAAATAAAGAAACTGGTGCTAACCGCAGTTTTATTCTCATAGAAACCGGAAATATGGAAAATAATGATAACTACTGCCGCACGCTTTTACAAAAAAGATTAGCCGCCGCGATTACCGGAAAATGAGCCGACCAAAAAGAACATGAACCACTAGGTGGAGGATTTAAATTTACTACGCTGGATAAGCAAATTAACAACCAAGCCATTTTACAAATGGAAAGAAACGAATTAATTGATACCATAATTGCTAGTCGGATTGATAAATATCAGCAAAAATATCAAAACTTACAAATCCTAAAAAGTGAGAATTATCGTTATTTAATTGCTAAAGATAGCAATCAGGAAGGATTTTTTTTAATTTGGGATGGACCGAACCAAAATGTCAATTTTACCAAAGGAGTTTATCAAAAAGTAGTCCAAGAAGCCACCGAAAATAATTTAAAACCTCCTTATCATGTTTACGCTCGGCTTTATTTATGCCAAGTAGACACCGTAAATTTTTACCAAATTCCCAATAGTATTTTATTAGATTTTGGGTTTGATTTAGAAAAAGATAAGTTTAATTAAACCAAAAATAACTCAAACCATAAAATTAATTGCCTAGTTAAGTAAAATATAATATTATGGTAGGACGCAACGCAAATATCTATTTTCCAGAAGCAACTTACAATAAACTTCGCCAAGTAGCAGGAACCAAAATCAGTCGCTTTGTGAGTGAAGCAGTGGAAGAAAAAATCCGCAAGGAAGAACAGCGAAAACAAACTGAATTTCACCAAAAATTAGTGGCTGATTATCAATCAGTAGCCAAAAGTAAGCAAATCCAAAAAGAAGTTAAAATTTGGGATGAAACCCTGAATGATGCTTGAATAAAACCAACTAAAACCAAGTCAGCGAGAGCCAAAAAAGATGCATAGTAGTAAAGAATTTCCCCAAGAAGGTGATATCTGAATCATTAAATTTGATAAATTAAAAGAATTTTCTAAACCTTATCGTCCCTGTTTAGTAGTTAGTAATAATACTCAAAACCAGTTTGATGAGAATATAATAGTGGTGGGACTAACTACTGATGAAATAGAGCAAATTCGAACCTTTGAGGTTTTTATTAAGAATACCCACGAAACCGGTTTAGATGAGCCAAGTAAAATTTGTTGTAATTACTTACATACAGTTAGTAAGGAATTGCGTTTGGTAGACAAGAAACGCCTGGGAGTAGTCAGTCCAGAAATAATGGAGAAGGTGAAAAAGGCCTTAAAGATAGTGCTGAATTTAGAGAGTTAGTAAAAATTAGTACATGGCAACCTTGTGCTTCTAGTAGAAAGAAACACGAATGAAGTAAAGGAGGAATCGGGTTTTTGGCGGAGCAGTAGTTTATTGCCAAATCTGCTTTTTAGTTTAGAAAGCACCAAGGCTTCCGATGAGAAGACCGGAACATATCAAGCTAAACACTACCTTTCTGGCACTTGATTTAAGAAAGTGGAAAAATATGTTGGTTAAAATCCTCTCCAAGAATAACATTAAACGAGTAAGTAAGTGATCATCCTAAATTAGAAAATTTTTGTATTATACAAATTCTCCGTAGACAAGTAAACCGCCATAGTGTGCCTTTTTTTAGGACTAGTAATTTCTTGCCTAAACTTTAAAAAATCTCGGTAATAACGTTTTCTAATACAGAGGCGACAAATGTAATTTTCCTTATCTTCCTCTTTTTCTGTTCAGTATCCTCAATTGTTTTTTTTGGCATATTCTTTGCGAGGTGGAACAAATTTGACTGATATTTTCTCTCCACACTGGAAACATTTTTGGATTAAATATCTATTTTTAACAATTTTGCTTAATTTTTTATTATTATAACAATGTAAAATTATAATATTATGAAGCAAGTAGAACCCAAACAAACTTTAAGCATTACCATACCCATTAGTCTTTATCAAAAATTACAACAAGAAATAGGAAAAGGCAAAATTAGTAAATTTATTAAAAACTTGGTCGAAAAAGAACTAAGCGAAGAAGAGGAAAAATTAGCTCAAGCCTATAAAAAGTGCTATGCCAATAACCCTCAATTACTAGAAGAAGCTAAATTGTGAGAACGAGCCGGAATAGAAACTTGACTGAAACGCGAACGAGGATTTTATAACCGAACAAAGTCAACTAAAAAAACAAGCAAATCAACCAGTAAGTAAATGGCAGAAAATTTAATTCATAGAGGAGAAATTTATTGAGCAGACTTACCTGATAAAAAGGGGCGGGAACTAAGAGAACCCCACCCTTGTTTAGTAGTCTCCGATGATAAACAAAACACATTCAGCCCCCTAATAATCATTCTGCTAATCACTTCCTTAAAAGTCGGCGATGAAGCCTTTCCTTTTCAAGTAGTCATCCAACTTCAAAAAGAGAGCGTAATCCTAATCGACCAAATTCAAACTATCGACCGGGAGAAGTTTAAAGGGAGGATTGGGAAAATAAACCCTGAACTAATGGAGGAGGTGGAAAGAAAAATCCATTTAGTATTAGCCTTAAAAAAGTAAAAACATGCTAGAATTATTTGAATTTCAAGAAAAAGCCGCTTTAAAAATAGTGGAAAAATACGAGCGATATCTCCGCTGTCAAATCGTTATCAAGAAAGGAAATGAAGAAACACCAGTGCCTTTTATCCAAATTTTAGATGCCTTAACTGGTTCTGGAAAAACGGTAATTTTAGCCAAAACTATCGGCGAGATAAGTAAATTAAGTCAAGAAAATCCAATAGTTTTGTGGTTAAGCAAAGCCAGTGTGGTAGTGGAGCAAAGTTTTAATAATTTAACTAGCGGTGGCAAATATCACCATTTATTAGGCAAATGTCAGGTTATCATGCTTGCCGAATATCACGAAAGTTTATTATTCGAAAATGAGCCGTTAGTCCTTTTTGCTACCGTGGGAACTTTTAACCAAAAAGATAAAGAAGCCGGTAATCGCCAAATTTATCAATGTAAGTTAGATGAGCAAAATCAAAGCGCTTGAGATAGTTTGAAAAACCGGGGTGAACGACCGCTTTTTATTGTTTATGATGAAGGGCATAATTTGTCCGACCAACAAACCAATTTATTATTAGAGTTAAAGCCAGAGGTTTTTTTAATGGCGAGTGCGACCATGAAATTTCCCCACAAATTAGCCGAACAGTTTACCGAATTAAAAAAAGAAAGCAAGTGGCAAGACCATGATTTTTTCACCCAAGTGCCAACTACCGAAGTAGTAGAAGCCGGTTTAGTGAAAAAAGTAATTCAGTTAGCCAGTTATGAAAATCCCCGTGAGGAAACCATTTCCTCGCTGGTTGAGGATTTAAGGGTCATCGAAAACCAACTCCAAAATAATTTACCGAACCAAAAACCCAAAGCGATTTATGTTTGTCGTACCAATGTTCTCGAATTCGACCCTTCTTTGCAAGACAATATTCAACAAAATTTTACCCAAAGAAAAGCCCCACCGATTTTAATTTGACGCCATTTAGTCGAAAAATGTCAAGTGAAGCCAGAAAATATTGCCGTTTATTGTGATTTAAAATTTAGCCGAGATTTTCCTAAACCTCCGGAATTCAATTTATTTGCTGGGAGTGGAGAAAAGAAATATCAAGAATTTATTAGTGGTGATTTTCAACACATTATTTTTAACTTAGGATTACAAGAAGGCTGAGATGACCCCTTGGTTTATTGTGCTTACATTGACCGTTTGCTTAATTCTTCCCTGGCGGTGAAGCAAATTATTGGTCGAGTTTTACGCCAACCTAAACCAACTATCACTCACCAATTACCAGAATTATTAAATACCGCTCATTTTTACATTCAGGTCGAAAAACAGTCTACTTTTCAAGGAGTAATTGAAGAAATTAACCATGAATTAGAAAAAAATGGTCGAGGTATTGAGATTAAACCAACTACTTCCGTGGATAAACCGGAGATCGTTAAAGTTGAAGATATTTACCAACTACCAAAAATTATTTGTAATGCAGTTTATGCCGAACCGGAAATAACCAAAATTATCAACCAAACCCCAGATTGAAGAGAGGATAAAATTAATACTCGGGGTGATAGTTATCGAACTATTACTAAAAAATATATTGACGAGCAAGGCAATTTCCAAGAAACAGTTCACGAAAAGACTGGTGACACTGATAAGATTACAGTCCGGGCGGTTTTCTACCGAGAAATTATTCGCAAACTTCCCCAAATCCGAGGAATAGTCTTGCTAGATGAGCCTAAATTTGATGCCTTAGTAGGGTTTAAATCAAATGTTTACGGACAAATCATTAAAAAGGTGGATGAAATTATTAAAGTTTATTTAGACAATTCTCAACTGGAAGCAAGTGAAACGGAGTTATATACTGTCCCCGATTTATTACTTTATAACCCTACTAATTCTATTAATTTTAACAATAGCATTCACCCCAAATACTCTCAATTAAATAAGTTGGAGGAAAAATTCGCTTGCGAATTAGATAAATTTGGTTATAAGTGGTGTCGCAATCCTTCCCGCACCGGTTATTCTATCCCCCTAGTTACTTTGGGTTCAACTCGGAATTTTTATCCCGATTTTTTGGTTTTCCTTAAAAATAAAATTATTGCGGTTGATACCAGCGGCGAACATTTAATCAAAGATAAAGTTGATCGGAAATTATTGAATATTAGTCCCAAGTTATTAGTTTGTTTTGTTTCTAGTGGAAAATGGGATGAAAAATCAGTTGAGAAAACTGATGAGAGTGGTTGAACCTTGTGAAAGAGGAGGGCAAGTGACGGAAATCTATCTGTAATGCATCAAGAAAACTTGAAAGAAATTATTGAGCGGATGTTGGAGAATATAAGTTAAACTACCTTATTTATTTCTTTTTTAACTCTTTCTATTTCCTTTTCTTTATTATGACACCAATCCCGGGATAGAATACGAATTATTTTTCAACCTTTATTTTCTAAAAGTTGCTGTCGATAGATATCCCTTTCAATATCTTTTAATTGGCTATGTCAATAATAGCCGTCACATTCAATCCCTAAAATATACTGCTTAATTTGGTTGTCTCAAAGGGCTAAATCAATATGATAACCCACACTTTTTACTTGTTTGTGAACTTCATACTTTTCAATCTGCTTCACCAACTCGTTATACACTTTTTCTTCAAATAATGAATCAAACTCTTTTGGTTCTGAATCCTTTTCATAAAGAGAAGAATTAGCAATCCCCGGAAGTTTTTTTAATATTCCTTGAACTCTTTCCGGCTGGATTTTTCAACAACAATAAGCATATTCTAAATATTTTTTGAATAGTTTTGATCCCAGATTTCGGTTTTCATCTTCATCGGTAATTCTATTTAAATCACTTGGTAAAAGACTGGTTACAATAATTATTTTCTCCCGTGCCCGACTTATGGCGACATTAAGCCGCTTTTCGCCCCCTTTTTGACCAAGCGGACCAAAACGGAGATAAAATTTGCCCTCTTCATTCCGAGCATAGCCAATGGAAAAAATAATAATGTCTCTTTCATCACCTTGCACTTCCTCTAAATTTTTGATAAAAAGGTCATTGCTTTTATTTTGTCCTTGAGAACTTCTCTCGCAACAATTGTAACTTTTAATTTTCCCACAATATTCACAGTTTTCTCTCTCACTTAATGGCTTATTTTCGGAATCATTATTTTTCTCATCACGACAACTTTCTTCTCCTCCGGGCGGAGATTTGGAAGTTCATCAAATTTTAAATTCTTGGTATTCTGAAAGAGCAATAGTCATTTTTTCAATTTCAACGGTAAGTTGAGTATGTTCAACAACTTTGTCCGGATATAAAAAATTGCCATTCCTATCTTTTTTCCCCGAACTTTCACATTGACTTTTTATAGCATTGTCAGGTTTTCTGATATGAATAGTACTTTGATAAGCATGAGCCAATTCGTGAGCAATAGTATTGATTAATTTATCAAAATTAATATCAGTAAATTCTTGCTCTCTTCAGTTTTCTGTTTCTGAATAACTAGAAACAACTTTGTCCATACCTAATTTATCGAGTAAGTATAGTTGATTAATGAGGATAGATATTTTCCCAGTTTCAGTTTCTGGTTGGTTTTTTTTCATAGAAAATTTAGTATCGCATCGACCATAGACACGTCATTTTCTCTTGCCTCTTAATTCTTTATCGGTTCGAAATCCTTTGAAGCCTTGAAAATCAATTTCAGTAATTGTCCCCCATGGTTTTCCTTTTTTCTCCCGAAAGAGTCAATAAATTTTGGTGATAAATTCATCGAAGCGAGAATGAACTTCCTGACTTCCTCTTAAAGAATCAGTGAGATCTTTTCATTTGCTGTCTTTTTGGCTACTCATGTTATTTTCCTCGCCGATTAGATCAATTAATAGATCTTTTTGTTTAACATTAAAAGTAATAATTCCAACTTCTTTGTCTTTTGGAAGAGTCCTTAACAAATTAGCGATATATCGAGCCTCCACTTCATTTTCGTTATTTATCCAGCACCCTTTATCTTGATGATGATATTCAATCGGTAAAGTGTCTTCCTTTTTTCTTAATTCGCTGGCGGAAACTATTTGCAAAATGCCATTATAAAAGGCTTGATTAGAAAAATCAATTAACTCAGGGTATTTAGAACGATAATGGTAAAGTAAAGTTAGTTTCCCCCTATTCCGAGCATATTTTTTGGCATAAGTTAACAAATTACTGTTTTTTTCTAAATCATCAATTTCTAAATTAATATCCTTTTCTGCTTCATTTAATAGTTTTTCTTCCTCCTCTTGTTCTCACATTTCTTCATCATTTTCTAAATGACTTTTAAAAATATCAGTAGGTGGCATTTGTTGTTCATCACCAATGACAATACATTTTTTGGCTCGGGCTCAGAGGGGAATACTTTTTTCCAAGAGAACTTGGGAAGCCTCGTCGAAGATAAGAAAGTCAAAAGTTACTTCTCGCCGATTAGTTATTGAAGCAATGACTTCGGGGGTGGTTAGCCAAATAGGAAGATAGTTTACTAGTTCTGGAAAAAGTTTTTTTAAAGGAGAAATTTTTCGTTTTTTGTTTAACTCTCTCATTAATAATTGATTAGTGGATAATTTATCTAAATTGAATTTTTGTTTATTTTTTAAAATTCCTTTTACTAAATCTTTTTTTTTTTGACTAATTTCTCGTTGTTCATGCTGAATTCTAGTTAATTCGCTTTGGTTTCAATAGGCTAAAACTTCTTTATTTTCTTCTTCTATTTCCTTTATTCAATTAAAATAAACGGTTTGTTCGCAGATTTCAATGTAGTTTTCTAAATAATTAAATTCTTGGTCAACTAAAACCTTTTGGAGAAAGAAATCGATATTTTTTTTAGTATTTTCCATAAAATTAGTTAGTAAAAAATTAAGTTCGCTAATGATTAAAAACTCTTCTGAAATAAACTGTTGGATGGTAAACAAATATTCTTTATCACTACATTTTTGTCAAAAATCAGTAAAATTTTCTATTTGTAAAAAGGCAAAAAAGTTTCGATAATTAGGTTCAGTTTGTAATTCTTCTAAATCTTTTATTTTGTTTTCTAATAATTTTGTCGATTGGTGATTTTTGCTACATTCTTCGGATAAACTTATCCGTAAAATTCGGGATAGTAAATTAGTTTCTCCTTTTTCGCCCCTTAATTCCCTTAGTAAGTCGCTAATTATTTTTTGAAAAATATTCTTATTTTCTCAATTAAATTCAAACGGAAGCAAATTATTTTCTAAAAAAATGTTTTTTAGTTGGAGACAAATTGGCTTTCATTTTGCCAAAATTTTACTAAATCTACTAAGGTAATTTTTCAAGTCATTTTTCAATTCATCTAATTGTTCTTTATTTTTTATTCCTTT